CGCGGCCCCGCCCCCGCGCCGCGCCTTCTACCTACGGCTCTCGAACCGGCTGGAACTTTCCATCCCTTCCGTCTGCTCCTGGGCGGCGGGCGAGCGTGTGCGCGTGCGCGGCTCTGCGGTCTCGTCCTTGCGCGCGCCCCTGGCCCGCGACTCCCCCTCTGCGGGGGACCTTCCCGAGAAGAGCGGGTCGCGGCCCGGACTCGGGGCTCTCCGGGCTGCCTGCGGGGCTTCCGAGCATCCCCGCTCGGAGTGGGCGGGGCTGCCACTAGCTCCCCGCGCACAGCCCGCGGCCAGCGGACGTCCCCTCCTTGGTCCTGGGGTCACTGGCCCTGGGCTGCAGGCAGCGCGCGGTTGCAGGGCCGGCCCCATCCCGGGGCTGCTGCGTGACCTTGGGAGAGCAGCTTTTGCGGAAAGCGGGGATGCACATAAACCGCGAAGGACGCCCTGGCGCAGAGCCGGTGGGGGTGACGCGGACATCCGTTGTACCCGCCTGGCCTGCCCCACGTGTGGTTGCCGAGGGAAGGCTAATACTTTGACTCTATCCAGTATTCTTCAAATGTTTCCTCAGCAACTATCGCCAATCGAAGATGGAGGGTTTAGCTACCGTCTGGGATTGACAGCATGCCCCCGGAGAAGGGAATGAGGGGCGCGAGGGGGACACAACCTGCACTCCCCCAGCCCTGGGAGGAGCCCCAGGGTTCATCTCTGCCTGGAGCCGCTGCTCGCTGCTGGTACTAAGTGTAATTTTCTGCACCTCCTCCCCTTTTTGAGATTGAGTAGAACTGCCACCTCTGCCCCTTCCTTGTCCCATTAAAAAGGTCTGTAAGCAAAGTATTTGTCAACCTTGAAGTGCTTTAATGATAATTGGTAAAATTTATTGAGCACTTACTCTGTGTCAGGCACCATGCTAAGGCTGTCCTGGGTATCTCATAAAATTCTCATAACAGCCCTGTGAAGCAAGTACTATTAACCCTATTTTAGGAAATATACACATACAGAGATAATGTAACTAGTCCAAGGTCACACACATAACAGTAGAAACAAAACTTTTCATCCACGCTGTCTGAAGGCTGTGTCCGCACTCAACACTTCCGAGTTCTCAGACCAGTGATGGTGAACCTTTTGGAGACCAAGTGCCAAACTGCAACCCAAAACCCACTTACCGCAAAATGCCAGCACTTCAGTTTAATCTAAATACGGAGGTTTCCATTTTTTTTAAAAAAAATCATGCATTAACGTCTTTTGTCTAAAAACACAATAACACACGTGCCATAGGTTCGCCACCACTGAGACCTAGACGAAGGTGCTGGTGTAACTCAGTGGATTAACCGTGTATTCCACGTAAACCACAAATGGAGAATACTTTTGTCACCTTACCTAGAGACCCTACCTTAATTGTAAGTCTTTCGTCTCTGTACTTCACAAAAGTGAGGAGGGTCGTTAGAAAATAAGCTTTTCTGTGATTGTCTGGGTTTTAACATTTTCTGTTTTTAGACTTAGCAACAACTCACGTTCTTCTAAAGAGGAACCACACTGGTAGCGAATCTAAATTAATTAGTGCCAACTACCTTCACCTTTGTTTAAAAGTAGCATACGCTAAAGAAGTGAGTTACAGATTTTTCTAGGATGGCCCCCATTTCAACTGTCCTTCCTGTCGTCAATTACATGGCCCACTTTGGGAATAAGAAATTGAGAACTCAGCATTTGTATGCCAAGCCGAAGACCAAGGCTCTGGACTTCAACTTGGAGCATTTCCTCTTGGAAGCCCCATAGTTTTTCCTAATGCCGCATGAGTGAGGATCTGGATTCTTCCTCTACCCCTCCCTCTAACTTAACAGGTGGTATAAGGGAATTAGCCTGATTGCATAATGCCCCACTGGGGAATCAGCACCCCAGAACCCTCCCAAGCTGCTGGCCACCCACAGACTCCTTTCATTTCTCAAAGGGAGAAAGAAGACAGCTACCTTGATTTTTGCCCTCAATCTTTTTTTAATAAATTGTTGCTGGTGGCTTTTTAAAAAAAAATATAAATGCTAGTGGCTTCATTACAAGAATTTTTTTTCTTAAAAATCATGAAGCATGCTGCTGCAAATTTAGTATCTTCCGATTGAAACTACAAACTTAACCAAAATAATTTTAACTTTTTATAGCAGCGTATAGAATTATAAAGCATTGCAGGATCAGTTTACAAAATGACTACTTGTTAGGGTCTCTAAACATTTACTATAGTAGGTGTTGAAGATTTGATTAATCAGAAGTTTTGGTTAATTTTTAAATAAGTTCTTCAGGGTAGGGGGATAGAAAAGAAAAATAGCAGAAGTTGGAATCCACATATATTTAAAAAAAAAAAAAAAAAAAACTTCAGAATATGCCCCGGGTCAGTTTAATCACTTGTGCCTCCTTAGTTCCTATTTCTGTATAATGAGACTTGACCTTGAGCACTCCATCATTAATTCCCAAGTGTAGCTGTTATTTTTTATGACAAGATCTAACATTTTGAACATGCACCATGAGCTAGGAATCACTGTAGGTGTTTTGCATGTAATAACAGTCACTTCTCACCACAAAGATGAATATTATCATTCCTTTCATTTTACACACAAAGGATATAAGGCTTCAGAGAGCTTCAGTAACTTGCCCCAAATTATACAGAGGTCCAGATCTGTACGGTGAACCCCCATACCACACATCTCAATGTCTATCAGCCAAGGTAAACTGAGCCACCGTCAGTCAATCTACAAATGGTTATTGACACCTTACTTTCCACTACACGCATATGTGACATGGACTATAGTCTCCCATTCTAGAATGCCTGTACTTGATCCTCCCTAGCCCTAACCCTAAGCACAGGCTTCTTCCTCCTGCCCTTGGTCATATACAAGTCTCTTAACCTGTTGCACTCTCAACTTGGCCTTGTTAGCCACGTTTCTCCAGCGGTGTCTCTCCTCCAGCCCCTGTGGTCTGTGCTCACCCACTCCATCACCCCTGAGCTGTTCCCCAGGCAGCCCCTCTCAGGGACCCCTCTGCCTCCTGGACAGTCTTTTCTTTGCTGTCCAGGACCCTGCACGTTGGAGTTTCCCTTCCCTTGTTGGTCTCCTTTACTGGCTCCTTTTCCCCTCCCTTTCCCTAACGTGGCTGTTCTCTAAAGCAAGGACATATCCCAACAGCAAGGATTTAAGGGAGGACATAGCCTGAGTTCCTGTCAATCAAATGCATTTTCACGGGGCCCTGATGAACTTTCCTGCCGGGATTCCAGTCTACCTTAACAGTGCAGGCAGGCAGTGGAAAGTGAATAAAATGAGTGATCTCCCTGTCTGTAGATAAGAAAATCTGATAAGAAAACAAAGTCAATTATTTATCCCAAGCCATATGCTCTACTGGCAACACCAAACACACACACACACACACACACACACACACACACACACACCTTTGTTTACTAGATTCTTTTTCCTGTGTGCTCTTTGCTAAGATGCTGGCTTTACTGTTCCTAATGGATTAATCCACAGGGAGCATGATCTTCCTGCATTCTAAAACCTCAGTTCTAAATAACACTGGGAAGAGGTAAGATAAATGTGTATCATTCAGCTCTTGTAGCCTGGTGTCTCTAAAACACCTCTCAGAAAGTAGAGAAATGAGAATGTTTTTGGTGAATGAAGAAAATGATCCTGAAGTAGAACCAAGTCATACTTTAAACTGTCAATCATCCCTCTCACCTGTCAATCATCTTCCCTCTGATGAAAGGGAGCCTCCACTTGTGACAAAGTGCACCCAAGCTCCTGAACTTCCCCTCACGTAGACCGGAGCCAAATGCTCCCAGGATCTGTGCCTGTAAAGCCCGTTTCTCTGGTTGCTCGGTGTGGACCTGTATTTCTCCATGCACAGCCCACTGAAGTCACAGCATTTCAAACTTACTTTGTTTTTAACTGTTTCACCCATGAATCCATGGTCATTCCCAAACCCTACACACCCCTTTCACCTCTTTGCACACCCTTTGGGCCATATCCACTTGCCTTTGCTTCTTTTTTCCTACTCAGTAAGCCTCTAGGTACTGCCTAGTTTTTACCTGTCTAATTCTACTGGCATGTGTGTTATTATGCGTTCCTTTGCAGAATGAAATAGTTTGTGCAGCATTCGATCTCAGGCAGACATTTGAGGAGCTCTTTCAACATTTTCTCTCTTTTAATCCAAGTATCCAAATTATTTTTTGAAATCTTGCGAGTAAGTTTGCTTTGGGGATAGGGAAAAAAAAATGGCAAGCAAAGGTTTCTGAAGTATAATTTTTCTTTTTTTTAACCCTGTCTTAGGGGCTGGGGATTTAACTCAGCGGCAAAAGTGCCTGCCTGGCAAGCGCAAGATCGTGAGTTCGGTTCCCAGTACCGGAGGAAAAAACTCCAAACAATAAAGTAGATGAAAGGACTTTCCAAAGCAGTGAAGATCTAGCAGCACATGCTACAAAGAAGCAGAGAAAAAAAAAAAAAAAA